CTCGTCAGTCAGATCCAAAGTGCCCAACCCGCTTATCGGTCAGTTCCAAGTGCCGTAAAGAAGCTAACGAGTGCATAAAGCAAGTTAGCAAATCGTACAAGCCAACAAGACGGTTAAATACGTAAAACAGTGGAAAATACAAGTCCCGAAAAAGTCAGAAAACACAAAGTTCAGCAAAAGGCCAAACCACCCGCGCCCGCGCGGGTCGGACTCAACCGACCCGCGGGTGGCGCGGGTTGGCGCGGGTCGGACGAATCCGACCCGCGCCCCCCGCGGGTCAGCAGTGCCCGTCGCGCTGTTTTGACCCCCTGACGCATTTTCGACGGTTTTGAACGATTTTCTCAGGATTTATCTGTTTCAGGTGTTCCTAACTGACTTGATATCATCTACAAACGTGGTTAGGCCGTTATTGATTGAAGATAAGGTAAAATCACTCATTCTTATCCAAATACCCCCCAACCGAAGCCTATAAATACAGGCCTAGGGGCTCATTTCAGAGGGTGGATTATGATCAAGAGGGCGAGGTGCTGTCGGATCGAGGAGTCAAGGGAGCACGAATTTTAGAAGAGGCTAACTGATCTCGGCGAAGTTCTTCACCAAGGAAGTATTCGCTTGAACCTCTAAAATCGACCAAGCGAAATCAGTAGCTCTTCTCGAGATTAAGACCAAGCCTAATCTCGAGGAACGGGCGGACGAGGCTTCAGATCTCTCGAACTCTCCCTCTTTATGCTGAAGAACTTCGTAGAGATCAGTTAGCCTCCTCTGTAATTCGTGCTCCCTTGCTCTCCAACTCGGCAGCACCTCCTCCTCTTGATAATATTCTGCCCCTGTGAAATGATCCCCTAGGCCTATATTTATAGGCTTCGGTTGGGGGTATTTGGATAAGAATGAGTGAGTTGGCCTTATCTTAAGTCAATAACGGCCTAACTATATTTGTAGATGATATCTAGGCAGTTAGGAACCTCTAGAACAGAAGAAACCGATCGAAACAGTCTAAAAACACGTTTTGGAGGTTACATGCAGTTCTGGGCGCGAGACGGACCGCGCTGACCCGCATAAGTGCGGCTCAGTCGGGTCTGACCC